ATATATATATATATATTTGAGCGAAATAAATTAAATATACCTATCATTTGCAAGGTTCCAAGCTTCCTGCCTAAGTTCAAGAGGAGCTCCAAGTGTTGCTAGGTAATTGGATATGAACTTGTGAGGATGTTCTACATGGCAGATAAAACCCATCTCCTTCAGCAAATGTCTCTCCGTTCTAATTAAATCGTTCTTCAAGTCTGAGTATTTCTGTGATCATGGTAGAGAACAAGGCCAGCAATTATAACGACACACAAGTAATGCATCAGAAAAACAAACTACGATTACATTATTTTATTTCTCCATGGTAGCATCTGGCAAAGTCATGTAAATGCCTAAAAAGATAATTGTGAAATGAGATACAGTCAATGCGAACCAAATCCCATTTAACAAAACAGAAACACCAACCTTGGACATGACATCAAGATGCTCTATCGGTAAACCCTCTCTTCTACACTCCATCCGGTGAAAGACCATAAGAATATACTTTGCTTTTCTAGGGCTCTCTTCGAGCTTCGAAGCCAACCAAACACAGCTAGCTGCTACCCTCTACATAATCAAAATTAGGAACAGTGACACATCAATGGATAGAATCCAAAACCTCATATATTCTTTCCATTGAAAAACACATAGCCATACCTTCACACTGAAGCGCGCAAAAGACTTTTTGCAGTAGAACCGGTGGAAAAGGACCTGCCCTGTGGCCATGACTGCTTGAGGTCTATCGGAGTCAAGAACTCGCAAACATAGTAATCAAAAATCGAGTTGTACAACCAACCTAAAAAACAAATCAAACAGGAAGAGTAGAATTAAATCAGATAAAAAAGGATACAATCTGAGAAGAATGCCGCTCTCCTGAATGAGATCGCACCCGTAGATGCGTAACATTATCTCCGTGTCCTCTTGAATGTCATCTTTCCTCGAAGGAGAATTTTTCAGATCTTCATCAGTGAGGTAGAAGTTATCGATTGCAGTATAGATCATTACGAAAGAATAGACGGATCTGACCAAACCAAATATCCTATTGCTGCTGAAACCAACAGGAAGAAAGGGGA